TTTTTCAAAAAAATGCTATGTGGGTATCATTTTCGAGGTATTTGGGGATGCTCAATGTGAATATGGCACTATTTGTAAATCCAAGATGGCGGGCACGATTTTTCAAATAATGGTAAGTTGGGTATCGTTTTCGAGGTATTTGGGGGTGCTCATTACGAATATTGCTTTTGTTTGAACTGTCGTGTTTGCCATCTTGGATTTAGAAATGAGTGCCATATTTGTATTGAACATTCCCAAACATCTCGAAAACGATACCCAACTTGCCATTATTCGAAAAATCGCGCCCGCCATCTTGGATTTAGAAATAAGTGCCATGTTCGAAACCTAAAACCGAAAATGCCATAAGCAAACATTAAAGAAAATAACTGTTAAAATAGATTAAAAAAACGCTTAAGAAAAGGGGAGCATTTTAAGAAAATAAAATATTTCAATATCAAATATTTCGCTTGAGTTACGAAAAGAAAGACATATAATAAGCTATCAAAGTTGTACTGGTGGTGCCAACACTATAGTAGAAATGAATATATACTGTAAATTTGTTGCAATATGTGCTGCAATTCAAATAAAATTAAAATAAATAATTATTCAATAAAGCATGAACGCAGAGCCGTTAAAAGTATTATAAAATAATTAAGTGTCCCAATCACTTACAGGAGTTAACGAAAACATTTAATGTTTATTCAAGTGAATATTAGTTCAAGATGCGCAAATAAATCGAAATTACAGGCACCACTAAAATTTACGTAATATAATTATTTTGATACAGAATAGCAAAATGGGGAGAAAAAAAATTCGTTACTTTGCAACACTTTCGTATCTTGTTGCCGCGAAATTATTTTTCTGTTTTAGTGAATAATTACGTAAAAATATGAGTTGAAACGCATTACTTACTTGTGGAATGTGATGTTAGTGTCTATTTTATGTTTGTCTGTTCTATTTTTACACCCATTTACCGCACATTTCGTCATTTTTAGCAAAAAATTTTAGAGCTGTTCGCGGTGCAATTTGACCTTGAGCACTAACAGCCCGCGCGCTCCTGGGAGCCCGTTAGGAAGCCTTTAACTTGCCTCACTTAGCGTGTGCGGGCTAGGTTTCTATGCGTTATTATTCTAAGGATAAAAACCTCATGTACATGATAATACAAGAAAAGTCAATTGACTCGAGCAATAAATCATTTAATTAGATAAAAAAGTACATTATGTGGCTTTTATTAACTGAGGTTTTGACCAATAAATAAAAAAAATCGAGCCCTACGTTGCCTTTAATATAGAAAGTTAAAAATGTCACTTTATAGTGACATGCCGAAAATTATGTAATATTATCGTCCTAAATATACCTAGAAACTTAGATTAATAACACATAGAATGATAGTTTCATATCAAACGAACTGTCACAAGTGAGGCAAAAATCAAATTCATGTAGGTTAGTTTTAGTAATAGGTTAATTTTCGGTTTTAGTGAATATTTACTTTATTTACAACTTGAAACGCGTTACTTTCTTGTGGTGTGATGTTAGTATCTATTTTATGTTTGTCTGACGTATTTTTACACTCATTTACCGCACATTTCGTCATTTTTAGCTAAAATTCTGGAGCTGTTCGCGTTGCAAGTTGACCTTGAGCACTGAAGGCCCGCCCGCTCGTGTAGGCCCATTGGGCGCGCTTCAATTTGCCTCACTTAGCGTGTGCGGACTAGGTTTCTATGCGTTATTATTCTAAGCCTAGAAATTTATCTCTATAGAAAAGTTCCTTCTTTCGAAAATGTATAAATGTAAACGTACCTTATTTCAAAAACGTGTCACGTGTGTCAGTCAACCAGTGGCACGTAATCGTTATCACACAATTATTATTCTAGAGATATTCCGTTCGTTCAAAAAGAAATGCCTTGGAAATAATTATAATTAATTCAAACTCAAATTCAACAGAAAACGGCAAATTAAATTGTTAAGACAAAGATGGATGCACTTCACATTAAGTGCATTAACCGGCACATTTAGCTGAACACTACTAAAAACCCAAAATAATAGTTTTTTTTTCAAAAATTGGCCACCTATTTTACTTTTTTATTTCAGGTCTAATTTGAAAACAAGAAATACTAGACTGTAATTTTTTTATTATTTTAAATTAATACAGGTTTGACGCTCTGGTTCGATGTTGGTTTGCGTTCCTTTAATTTCGAAAAGTTCAGTTGAAAGTATTTTATTTATTAAACTTCACAAAATCGAAAAAAATGTATTTTGTACTAAAACGATGCCGATGTTAAAAACTTTGTATCTAATTCTTACTTATTTAAATATAAACGTTACTATTTTATATACTAACTTTTTGTTCCGCTAAATGTGTGCCGGTGTGTGTATTATTTCATAATAATTTACATCACGATAACGATGATGCAGGTTAATAGGGTAAATTAGCCCGTTTAAACACGTTTTGTAATAAATTGTACTGCTAAATCGCTTGCTTCCTTTTTGTTTAATTTCATCCATCACTTCGGCATAAAGTTTAATACGACTCCTGTGATTGACTGACTGATCAACCTAAAAAAGATGCTAAACTCGCGGCAATTCGCTAATTTTAATTGCCAAACGTGTGAAAGGGTAAACAGTCAATGGCAATGTTGCCAGGTATGAAATTTGCTTTTATAATTTAGTTGTAAATATTGATTTCGGCCGTTAATGGGTTTCCCCGATTTAAACTCGGCGTTAACAAAGCGCCGGATTAAAACCTGGACGCTTGCCCATCTCTAAATGCGGAGTAAATTGAAATATATTCTTTGGTAAATTAAAAATAAGGAAATTTAATCAATTTTTTTGTTACTTATTCAGAATAGGGTAGTATGATGACTAATACCATTCCAATCAACCGTGACCACCGATACCAGTACAATCTCAAAAACCTAAAAACTCGAAACATTATTTAATAATTTTAATCGACCGACATAGTCAGTCAGTTTTCATTCCTACTAAATGGGAAATGAAGTAGGTAATTAAAATACAAAGGCATTGTTATTACGAAGTATAATTTCATTTTTACTTATTCGTAAAATCTTAATCATAAAGTAATCGAACGGTCCTATTATTAATTATTTAGTTATTAAAATATCTCAAAAGTAATATTTGAGTCACAAGAGAGAGAGTTGTGCACGTAAATCATATCTTGAATTATTGTAAGCATTTAACTGTGAACAAACTGCACGTTCACCAAGCTACCATTTGGGACACAATCGTCATAAGAGCACAAAATGTATTTCAGAGATGCGTCGTACACTACACGAAGAGCCGCAATGTTAAATTCTCGGCTTACTCGCGAATTCCTTGTGCATTCTTATAAAAACAAGTCTTTATCTTATTCATTTGAACCCATTGACCCATTGACGAAAATAAAGATAATGTTTGCTCAATTGTCTCAATAAAAAATTAACCTCCTTGTCATCAGACATGTACACTTGATCGAGATATGACAGCACGTAAAGTTACTAGAACTATTTAACGTTGCTGTGTCTGCGTGCTCTTTGCGATTTGCTCTTTGAGCATGAGGATGCTGGCTCGCTGTTCGGGCGGTAGTAGAGCGATTTGCTCGTCCGACAGTTGTAACACTTGCATTATGAGCGCCGTCTGCAAATAAATTGATTCTTGATATATATCGACACTTTGGGGAAGGTGTACATTTGTTTAATAACAAGTGATGGGAAAAATTAAATAAAATATATGATACCTTCTCTAATAAACGAAATTCCTAAATGAATAAAAATATTGTTTGATTGTAAAAACATCAAACCTAAACTTTAAAATTGCATTTTAGAAAAAAAAATATAATTATTAATACAAAGATTGAACGCTTAGAAAAAATTCCTTCGATCCGCTAAAAAAGTATAATCTTCTTAAAGGCTAAAAAAGTAGTTGAAAACCAAATACAAAGATTCGACAAACAAGCACATGGAAAAAAATCGTGAGGTCCGCTGGTTCGTTCCGCGACTTAGTAGGCATAGCGCCTACTAACTATTTAACTTTAAGTAACAACATACATACTAAAAGCAAATTTAATATTAAAGTACTGTTCACGACCATTTATTAGAAGAGATTTGTGTTCAGGGCGGGATGCACATACAAGAATTCAGGTTTAGTGACACCCTTTATTAACGACTCTCAAGCACACTAAGGGTCGTATTCCGGAACTCTACTCAATGCTCAAGTCAGGATTTGAGCAGACTTGAGTATGATGTCAAGCACTGGAAATTGTGTATGATTTCGAGTGCCTTAAACCATACTCAAATTCTGACTTGAGCATTGAGTAGAGTTCTGGAATACGACTCTAAGAGGAATGTCAACACGCAGCAGTACGAACGCACACACTGAACTTAAAAGTTTTTGTACGACGAATGAACAGTATACGGAAACAATTAATTAAGTTTGTTTCCTGAAAAAAAAGCAATCGTGCGACTGGTGGTAAGCGACACGCCTGTACGGACAGGCGATTTAAAGCTCTGAGCGACATTGCAACTGTTATGGAACAATTGCGGCTGTTCAGAGCTTCAGAGCTGAGACATAAGTTGAAAAGTCCCATCTGCCAGTAATGTCACCGGCACCCTTACTCTTTAAAACCGAAACGCAGTAATGCTCACGTTACTGCTTGGCGACATTTATTTATTGCCAGTGCTTCCCTGGACGAACTTTTTCACAAAAGCTCCACTGCTACTTAAAATCAGACCAAACTACAAAGTTTGAAAAGACAACCAATTTATAGACGTTTTAGTTCATATATTTTTTATATTTATAACTATGTTTATGTAAATGAAACTTTGGTGGAAGAAATACGAAAATTGAACCCAACTACGTAACCAATTTATATTTGATAGAATTAACTGTTACGGCCTTTCTAACGATATACAAGTTTATAACGATACTTGATCGATACAGTCGTAGCCTTAAGCTCTGAATGGCACTGCAACTGTTATCGACAGGCGTGTCGCTTACCAGCAGGCCCACAACATGTTTGTCCTGTCACTTGGTATGTTAAAAAAAATATTTAAAAAATATCACTAATTTTATTAAAGGTTTCTTACCTGTAACCTATAAATTGGTGATAATCATTTGCAAGTTTCTAGTAGTGGCAATTAACAATTGATTTAATCGCATATTTCGTGAGTCTAAATCTGTTATTGATTACCGAAACTCTGAAGTGAAATTATATGGAAAACGTCATAAACAGGTAGATGCGGGTTGGTAGATGCGGGTTGCCAGTTGCCGAAAATCGAGAATCAAAGTTGCTCCGTCTGCTCAGCGCCTAAATGTCACTGTTAACTTGTTTGTAGATATCCGTTATACGCTTCCGATATGGAAGTGTACCGCTTTAATACAATCACATAACAAATTTAATATGTCATATAGACCAGATACTGACCTTCTCTTGATCAGATGCGCTAGATGGAATGCCTTGGATCGTCCTAGCCTGCGCTGCGCTTGGCATGCCTGGTGGCATTTGCTCTGTAAGATAAAATCATAAAATCATAAAATCACAATTCAAATTCAAGTACAATTTTCACAACAAAACTGAGACATTGAAATGTTTCATTTGCTGTTGTTGTTTTTCATGTCATTTTCATCATTATTATTAATTAAATCAACATTATAACCATAATATACTAATATTAAATTAAATATTTTTAGAATCTTGTCAATGTTACTGTCGAATACTGTCGAAAGCTATTTTCATAACCTCCCAAAACAAGGCACAACTTTGTTTTTCTTAGGTTTAGGTTTTTCTCATCGAAGCCTCCTCTCTACTTTACTTTCAAATTTCTAATATAGTGTCATAGGTGATCAGAAGATTACCTCTGTGATGTTCTATTGTCTTTATGTTCCTGCTTTTTCGCTTCTTAATTAAAAATGTTTACGTAAAATGAAAATCTTGTAGCAAACCATAGGTACCTCGATAGTTCAATACTATCTAAAAGAAAATTGTGTAGTGTAATGTGTGGGTGTGAAGTGTGTGTATGGTGGTCCGAGTGTGGTGGGTTGGAATGGAAAGATGAAAAAACACTCACGCGGCATTTTATTTTGCGTCCTCGGGTCGGTGGGGCGCATGCGCGGGTCAGCGCTGAACGACTGCTGCATGTTGGCCAGGCGAGGGTCACGCGGGAAACCAGATCTGAACATTGCATACGAATAATGAATGGAATGTATGTACTATTTAACATTATATCTCTAGTTTTTTTATAAATCCTGTACAGTGACTTTGTCAAAGATAAAATGATAAATGATTGATCATACTTTGTTTTATTTATTAATAGACTAAATGTTTCACAGAAAAAATTGATTTTGGCATACATAAACTAAACTCAATTTAAATTCAGTGCATCTGTACCCTTCTTTGGGCTGTCAAGGCATATGTCCGAATCGACACCATGGTTCAGATATTACACTGGATGTATATGTGAAAACGTTTAGATACAAAGTTTATAGAATTGGGAAATCCGAATACCAGGGATTATCTATATTTGAATTAAATAATGCGCATTAAATAGGTCAAACAAAAACTTTTGAAGCGGAAAAATTAAAACAAAAGGAGCTTTGCTGGGGTAAACATAAATCACGTGCTTATTAACTACAGGCTATGAAAGCGTTAACAACATTGTGTAAAAATAAATGTAAAGGATAAACATTATTGCAATGTTTAAACTTACAATTCGTGAACAACGCTTTCCGTTGACGTAGTTGGAGTCGGACTTAGAATGAAACATTAGAATTATTTATAAATCTGTTCTACCTTTAGTACGTTGTTAATAACTCGACATAGTGACACAATTGTTTATTTGCTTTGTGAAATCAAGTGTTTAGAATTGACATGTGAGATTGTTCCAGGGCGTGTAAGCTACCAAAGCAATTGTTGCATTTAGTATTCATTTCTATTTTCTCGTGCGTGTGTACTCAAAAGTTCGTGAACAATGTTCAATACAACTGTGGTTGCTTCTTTAGGCTCACCATGCCAAGCACCAGTATTTGTACGCCCTAGCCTGTCGCGTATAAATGGTTTAGTAATGTTCACAGCGGCTTAGTAAAGACTGGTTCGGTAATATTTATTTTATTATCATGATGTTTTTACTACCATGATATTCAATAAAATTAATATTGCCATTAATATAGCGACATCTCTCATCAGCTTCTGGTAATTGTAAAAGTATCTGAGTGAAGAAACTTTCATAAGTTTTCCACGAGTGGTGACGACAAAACAGCCGTTTAAACTCAATATAAAGGTCTGCAACGGGCACAAAGAGAAATTCGTAAGATCTGCTGACTCGGTCTGCAGCTTAGTTGCTAAGAGCAGTGGCCGCAGTGTGGCAACAGCCGTTGGTTCGAGTTCAGTCAAATCGCAGGTATTTTTCTTTGTGTTCGAACTTTGTATTAATAGTAATAGTTGGTTCGGAAGCTCCTGAAAGCAGTCGAAATATTCATAACTAAACAATACTCACGAAGACTCCTGGTGCATACTGGGCGGAGGAACTGGATGCGGCATCGGATTGCGCATGTCCTGGTCGAGTAGGGGCGGGACGGGCACTGGGGCGGGGGCGGGGACCGACGCCCGGGATCCACGCAGGTCGATGTCGCCCATTGTTGGACGCGCTGGAATATAATTGTAACGTAAAAAAGTTTTTATTTTTAAAAAAAACCAACCTTTTGAGGTCGTGGAATGCATCTGTTTGCAAAGTTTTATTGAAATTGCTTATCCGAAAGTGTGCGAAACCAGATTCATCCCTTAGTTTGCCACTAGTGGTGTGATATTTTACCACCACCAGGGGTGGGATATTTTATTCAAATTTAAATGGGACCAATACTGAGGTACCCTCTTTCCAACAATAAAATAGAATCATCAAAATCGGTTCACAAATACCGGAGTCATCGCGCAATATACATACAAAAAAACATACAGTCGAATGGAGAACCTCCTCCTTTTTTGAAGTCGGTTAAAAATATAACCCACATCCTTCCCAATTGGAGAGGACGTGGGTTTTATTTTTCTCTCCAATTGGAGAGGATGTGGGTTATATTATTCTCCCCAATTGGAGAGGACGTGGGTTATATTATTCTGTATCTAATGGAGCAATAAACATGTTTGACGTAATTCCACTTAAGCCATTCTTCCATGAGGGGTGCGTGTAACCATTTGCGATGAACCATAAATAGATTCGTACTATCCGTTTTATGTTGTTTGGAATAAAGAGTGCTGTGACTCTTTTCTTCCTTATTCATTAAATGGCTGATTGTGATTTACTGATTCAACTTTCCAGTATTCTACACTAAAATCTTTGAACTAGTTTCGACGACTATATCCATACAGCTGGCGGGTATTTGGGTATCAATTTTTTGTTGGAATGAGGGTACCTCCATAGTGGTCCCATTTAATTTTGAAGAAAATCCTCCACCTCTAAGGGTGGCTGTTCACGCATAAAGATTCATTTTTATAAATAGCGCTTAAATTTTATTATAAGGAGCAATTATTTTAATGGTTGATTTTCCTATTCTCCAATTCAAGGCGTTTTTCTCTCTCAATATACTTTGAGTAGTGAGAACCGATTGTTATTACCTCCTGTGTCAAGTACCGTATAGTGGCGAACTAAGGGATGAATCCGGGTTTGTGCACTGTCCGGTAACCGATTTCAAGACAACTTGGTAATTATATGTGTTTCCACGTACTTTTGAGGTCGGTTTTTTTAGTACTCTTAACAAAGATTATTCTGTATCTAATGGAGCAATAAACATGTTTGACGTGATTCCACTCATGCCATTCTTCCATGAGGGGTGCGACAAAACGATAAAAAAAATATTTTGTTGCAGTAGAGTATGGCCGCACATTCTTGTCTTTTTTATCATTTTTTTTCGCGGCTTTAGTCACCTTGAGTGACTATGTCAGCCTCGTGGGAGGAAAACTGGGTTCCCTACTCAAGGGACATGTTGAAAAACTTGTACAAGTTTAGAGCGCCAATACATACAAGCTCTCTGAGCCAACAATTAATTTGTCCATTGCATAAACTTACATTCCCAAACATTGTACCTGTCGGGTTTACGTTACAGTTACGTTCCACCAATACATGATACTGATCATCTATTTTATTGCAAGTACTGCACAATGGAGATGGTTTAAAATCCATCATATGAAAGAATCTATTCGTTTGAATGTGACCAGAACGCAGTCTAAAAGCCGATAAAAGATATTTCCTTGCTATATTGACAGAATGAAACTAGTATATATATGTATATGTATAGGTACCCACTATGATTACTCTGAATGGTTATGTACCATATTCCAAGGCCTTTATCCACCTAACGTTATCCGAAATGATATTCCCATTTTTCTAGTGTTCTTTTCTTAATTAGTGGAATTATCTCGGTGGCATAAGGCTTACAATCGAGTACAATACTATTTTCAGCAGCTGATTTTGCAAGGGCATCATCTTCTTCCACATTCTTTGTTAAATTACATTTTGTGTAATCAACTTACCAACGTACTGATTTGCTGGTGGTACTGGATTGGCAAGCAATGGCGGTTGCTGTGCTGTAAAACAAAAACTAGTTTATTAAGAATTAATTTACGTTATTAAGGTAATTAATTTCCTAAAGTGAGCCATGGATCCATTTGACGTGCATACACTGACAAGATCCAACTTTCTAAATAGAACAACCTGAATATTTATCTGGTCCTGGATTGTAGGAACTGGGTTTGTCTCCTGGCTGCAGCACTGGTGGCATTGGATTACTGGGATGCAGCATAGTCTGAGAAAACAATATTGCAATTATTAATAAGTGGTAGTGTTGAAGATACTTGTTTAAGGCATACATACTACACATATTTGTATTATGCAGGTTGTTAACTTAATTGCCAAGAGTATGGCTTGACCCATTAATTTGAATTATTGAAACTTGTTTGAGTTAAATCTGTGGAATCACCCCCCCTTCAGTTATAATGCCATTCAGTAACACCCTGCGTATCAGATTTACGTACCCTCATGATATGTATCATGGTAAAAAGCACTGTCCCCATAGTGATCACACTTATTATTATTATTGGTTTTACCGGTGGAAAAGCTCTGACTGTACGAAAAATCGCCTGAGTTGGTTCCACCACCCATTACTACTGTAAACACTGTGATGTTCTGGATCGAACGGCAGTGAGAGCCAATTGCAATCACTGGCATAGAAAATTTATGGTCTTGCATAATATATGTTAAATAATGTTGAATACATTTATCTTTCTTTCTTATTTTTTACATTCCATGCTTTAAATATTAACCTCCTAAGGCCAAGCAAACTACAATGGGAAAAGCGCTAACACGCAATGTACATTAAAACGTACTGAATATAATTACATGCTTCAGGCCCAAGGAAGTATGCCCTCACTTTTGTATGAAAAACACATTCTCAAGATACCCAGTAACAATATAGAATATTAATATAGCGCTAAATTTTAATGCTATGTTATCATTATAATGTACACAGGGCGTTTAGATGATCATAGGAATAATAATGACTAATCTGAATTACTTGAGATATTATGTACATGTTGATATATATGGAGGCCTTAGGAGGTTAAGAATACTTCTAAGTACTGTAAAAATTTATTCATTTCTGGTTTCTTTGTTTGAGCAGCTTCTAGAGATTGTGTGTAACACCTACATTTGTACATATTGCTAAAATCATCTTTATCAATTCATTTTTGTTATAAACAGGGATCAGAATAGGTACAGTTTTTTACCTAAACTTCAAGGAACATAGACAGAAAATGGAGACAGCCTTACGTCAATATTTTTTAGATCCTGGACCTGTTCGGGATTCGGGAAATCACTTAAGTACATTAAAAATTGACGTAATTGGGGACAGGCACGTACACTATATTTATCTTACCTTTGCGACACAGTGGGTCGGATCAGGGACATTTGCACATTTTGATATTGATTTTGGATTTTTTCACGACACCTCTCTAAAAAAAATGGCAATCGAGAGATCCTATTGCCCTAGTTAAATATTGTCATATCATATTTTGCCATAAATCTAATACTTTAGTAAGAAAAAATAAAATGTGTATTTTTTGTATGGGACCATATATCTTTAGTGCCCCATCGGTAGCGTGTATTAACTTGTGGCGACTATACGATACGATATATATATGACACTATTAGAGCGAACGAAGATCACACTGGTTTTGGGCGAACGATTAATAATGCGGTTTCCGCCACTAGTCGGGAACGTTCGTGAGATGCGCCGAAGTTGAGACTTCGGCCGCGCCGTCGTAAACTCCGTCGCTGTCCATTGTTTGCTGCGCTCTGAAGCTAGACGCACGCTCGCTTTGCCTTTAAAAGTTACCGTTATCGCCCGTCATTACGTGAATAAATTGTGTTTAGTATTTTGCATATAGCTTGCGCTTACTGCCTTCAGTTCTATGACTAGCTTTCCATACTGAACTGTATCTTCTGTGCTTTTCGTGCTGTAACTGTAAAAGTGTAAAGTGTCTTATTGTAATTAAACAGCGTAAATCGAACTTGAGTGTTTTCTTTGTGTTCAGGACTATAAATTGTAAATTGCCGTAATTCGCATAGTGCTACAAATTGGTGACCTATGACATTGGACAATAATACGAGTTATTTAGTTATTATAATTAGTTTTTAATTATTTAAAAATGGCAACGTCAGAAGACCAGGAGAAACCAGAAACGGCGCACGGAGAAACATGTCGAGTGGGAGTACGTCCACCTCCATTTTGGCCGGAGAAGCCTGCGTTATGGTTCGCACAGATGGAAGGTCAGTTTATCTTGTCTAACGTGACGGCTGATGCTACAAAATTTTATCAAGTAGTAGCACAACTTCACCACACGTATGCTAAAGAAGTAAAGGAAATAATTACTAATCCGCCGGCTATAAACAAATACGAAACTTTAAAAAAAGAACTTATAAATCGCCTTTCTGCGTTCCGTCAGCTAAGATTGAATCAATTGCTAAGAAACGAAGAGTTGGGAGACCGTAGGCCCTCAGAATTTTCAAGACACCTTAGAGATCTAGAAGGTAGTGATGTAACCGACGAATTTCTGAAGACCATATTGACCGGCAGAATGCCGACTAATATTCAAACCGTCGTAGCTTCTCAATCCGAGTTAAAATTAGAAAGTTTAGCAAATATAGCTGACAAAGTGTATGAGATCGCTCCTATGGGCCGACCACAGATAGCTAGTACATCAGTGGTTATACATTCGCCATATGTGACAAGTGCGCAGTTCGACGAGATGGCTAGACAGATAAGTGATCTTTCAATGCAGGTAGCTAAGCTCACAAGTAGGCATGATCTGTCGGCCAAGGTACCTGCACAACATTTACCTCGCTCACAATCCTTTTCCAGAAGCAAGCGCGGACGTAACCAGTCAAGGTCAAGAACTTCACAAGCTCCTCCTGATCACCCTCACTGTTGGTATCATTTTATATTCGGGGCTCGAGCAAACAGATGCCAGTCACCCTGCAATTGGGAGTCGGAAAACACCAGGAGCAGCCAACGACTGCTCAACTCAAACAGGCTGGCTATGTATCACTGACCAAACAACAAAAATGCTATTTTTAACAGACACTGGCTCCGACTTGTACATTTTTCCGCGGTCTGCCGTCAAGAAGCGTTGCATACCTACAAAGTATGGCCTTGTAGCTGCAAATGGACCAGTGATCAACACGTATGGTCCCTTACAACTGTACCTAAACTTAGGACTCAGGCGTACCTTTCCTTGGAAGTTTACAATTTGCACTTGCACGACCTCAGGAGACTGATCCTGAGCTGCAAAACTTGCTTCTTACCGGATCTTCGCTCAATTTACAGAAGATTACCAGGTTTCGGCCACAAAATCTATTGCGACGTGTCTATTCAGCCGCCTCGACCTTTCGTCACTGCAAACTTTAGAAAACAAGTCTTTGACACGCTATATAACCTGAGTCACCTAGGAAATTCAGCTACAGTGCGACTGGTCACTCAAAGATTTGTTTGGCCAGGTATTCGTAAGGATTGTAGAGAGTGGCCAAAAGTGTGTCAAAACTGCCAGTGTTGTAAAGTTATACGTCACACATCTGCTCCTCGCTCCTCATTTCCTGTCACTTCCTCGAGGTTCACCCATATCCACCTCGACCTCGTAGGACCTTTAACTCTGTCTTGTGATTACAGATATTCCTTACTGTCATCGACCGCTTCACCCGGTGGCCTGAGGCAATACCGCTCAGGGACATTGCGGCCGAGACATGCTCGGCCGCCCTCGTATCCGGCTGGATATCCCGGTTTGGTTGCCCGGAGCGAATTACAACGGACCGTGGCCGTCAGTTCGAGTCTCACTTGTTCCGAGCCCTCACCACCATGCTCGGAGCCATCACTTTCATGCTACCGCCTATCACCCTATCGCCAATGGTATGGTTGAACGCCTGCACAGGCAACTAAAGGGCGCCATCATGTGCCACGATAAGTCTCTATGGACCGAGGCCTTACCTCTTGTCTTATTAGGTATCCGCAGCTCCTAGAAAGAAGACATCCAATCGTCTCCCGCCGAGTTAGTATACGGCGAATCCCTCCGTCTGCCCGGCCACTTTCTGTCTCCGTCTGATGGCTACACCGTTGAGGACCTTTCACGTATTCCTGCGCCTGGACAGAGTTAGAAGATCTTTGGAGCCCCCTTACGCAGGCCCATATAAGGTATTGGAACGAAAAGAAAAGTACTTCAAGGTTTTAGTGCGAGACACAGCAATGAACGTTTTGGACGATCGATTAAAGCCTGCCTTCACTAGCAATGATAATGCTGGATTACCTGGCACACCTGATATTTCACCTGTACCTCCGCCAGAGGTTACAGAAAGAGATACAAGGAGCGGTAGAAGAGTACATTTCCCAGACTACTATCGACACTATTAGAGCGAACGAAGATCGCACTGGTTTTGGGCGAACGATTAATAACGCGGTTTCCGTCACTAGTCGGGAACGTTCGTGAGATGCGCCGAAGTTGAGACGTCGGCCGTCGTCGTGAACTCCGCCGCTGGCCATTGTTTGCTGCGCCCTGACGCTAGACGCACGCTCGCTTTGCCTTTAAAATTTACCGTTATCGCCAGCCATTACATGAATAAATTGTGTTTAGTATTTTGCATATAGCTTGCGCTTACTGCCTACAGTTCCATGACTATTTTTCTTTACTGAACTGTATCTTCTGTGCCTTTCGTGCTGTAACTGTAAAAGTGTAAAGTGTCTTATTGTAATTAAACAGCGTAAATCGAACTTGAGTGTTTTCTTTGTGTTCAGGACTATAAACTGTAAATTGTCGTGATTCGCATAGCGCTACAAACTATTAGATTTATGGCAAAATATGATATGACAATATTTAACTAGGACAATAGGATCTCTCGATTGCCTTTTTTTTTAGAGGTATTGTAAAAAAAGTCCAAAATCAAAATGTGCACAATGTCCCTGTCCGACTCACTGTGTCGCAAAGTTAAGATAAATATAGAGCACCTGTCGGGTGCGATTCGTAATATATAACAACAAATTACATATTTTTAGTCGATACAACACTCAACAGACATAATTAACTTATGGTATATGGACATTTCACATATTCTTGCATGATCAATGGGTATAATAGAGTATTGATATAACAACTTTCAATCTAATATACGGATGGCATAATGTTCATTTTATAAAAATTCCAGTGGTGTTTAGGTGCAACGGTGAATGAACCGAATTCGTTTGCATTTCCTAGTGGGTTCAACCTCTTCCTGTGGGTTTAGGTTAGGTTAGTAAATGACAAAGCTGCTAGAATCAAATATGTTTGCATTTTTTAGTTGGTTTGACCTCCTCCTGTGGATCTAGGTTAGATTAGTATATGGCAAAGCTGCCAGAATCGAATTTGTTTGCATTTGCTAGTTGTTTTTTTTTATAACATCAAGTGACGGGGCGAACAAGTCGTGCGCCTGATGGTAAGCTACACGCGTATCCACGACAATAACAGTGCCACTCAGAGCTTTCAATCGCAAAGATCTGAGGGGCACTGCCACTGCGCCCGTCACCCTGAGACGGAAGTTGACAAGTCCCATGTGCCTGTAATTTCACCAGCACCCTTACCCTTCAAAACCGGAACACAGTAATGCTGACATTAATGCTTGGCGGCAGAAATAGGTAAGGTGGCAGAAGTAGATAAGGGTAGTACTACCCTGGACGAACTCTTTCACAAGAAGCTCTACTGCTACTAAAACCTCGTTTGATCTTCTCCTGTGGGTTTAGGTTAGGTTAGTATATGCAATTAAATATTCTGTTTAAAGTTTTAATATATATATTTTATAACACAAAAAGCAGTTAAAGCTATACAAAAAGAATTATATTTTGCGATTGTATATTTAATGGAATAAAAAAAATTCTTATCAACATAATGTAAGGCGCTTCAACTATTCGTAAAACGAAATTTTTTGTTTTTTGTTTTATTTTTATAATTGTGATATGTTATTTAATACATTATACTGGTAGTACTTATACCATTTGTTCATTATGTCACTTAATCATTATATCTAATGTTTGTTATACTGAAGGTTCATTATACACATTGAAATTATGCCTTTTGTTGTTGTACCTTTTGTTGATTACATACAGTGAGTGATTATATCCTTAGAAATTATATCAAATGTTATTATACCAAATGAATATAGATTATTTGTTGTCATATCTTCCATTACACACCCGTACCTGCCCGTCCCCAATTATGTCAATTTTTAATGTTCTCACGTGAACCATATCCCAAAATGTCCAGGACCTAAAAAATGTTGTCTTAAAGGTAGTCTCCATTTTCTGTCTATGTACGTCGAAGTTTAGGTAAAAAATCTCTACCTATTACGATCTCTGGTCATAAATGAGTAAGAAAGGAACTTACCACAGCAGTAGCAGGATCCACAATCCTCATAATCACTTGAGCTTGTAGCAATGCATATGCCAGCTGAGGGTTTTGCAAAAGCATTTTCCTGGCCTCATCTGGATTATTCTGAAATATCAATTTTTTATAGAATTTACGCTTCTCTAAAATAATTTCACAATTACATAGTATTAATTATAAATTACAGTAATAGGAAGCAAAGACTTATTTAGCATCTGCCATGTATTTGTACTCTAACCTACTATATGGATGCATATTGAATTTTTTGTAGCTAATGTAATGATCCAAATCCAATTTTCCATGACTTACAACTACATGTTAAGGGGACTATTTGAGTAAAACTATTGGCTGACATTCGACAAGTACTTATAAGGGCTCACACATTTGTTCAAGATGTACTCCCGCACTTAACTAAGCTAAAATATTGAGCCGCATTTTCAATATTTGTAAACTGTTTTGGACATTTTTACCTGAATGCAAAGTTTCATTTGTTTCATAAGCTCAAACATTTGCTCAGGAGGCAGTGTGGCCACAGCTTTACTAATAGCCTCAGGAGCTTTTTCAGGTTCCACTGGGTCTCCATACGGGTTCTCTACCTAAAATAATAAACACAACTCATTCAAAAAACAATAAGAACAATTTATGATGTGTGTGGTTAAAGTTCTACATGTGCGAAGTGATAAAACCAGGGATTTGATCAAACTTATTGAGGAGACCATACCCAGGAAGGGTCATACTACAACTACCTATGTTGTAGTATGTGTGTGACTCAATTAACAGTTAGCATACTGCTATAGTTGCCTACAGAGATGATACCAGTACCATCCACAGTATCTGAATGGTACTGCAGATGACCATGGAAAACAAGGACTATTTACCATCAAAGAGTCCATCTCTTTTTAAGCCTACAAATTTAAAAAAGTTACTGATGAAGCCAGATAGAAAGAAAAAGTTCGTACTTGAGGTCCTTGCATAAGGGCCTGCATCTCCATTCTCGACTTCTCCGTACAAGCATTGTCGACTCTGAGCGAACGACCACCAATTTCATATCCATTCAAATTTCTCATCGCACTGAGGGCCGTTTCCTGATCTTTGTACTCGCAGAATCCATAACCTTTTGGTTTGCCGGTCTCTCGGTCGAATACCAGTTTAAACGACAATACAGGCCCAACCTCGCTAAATATATCCTTCAGTTTCTCTTCAGTGGCCTCATAGGGTATATTACCCACTGAAAACATAGAAAGACATGTTGTTTAATCCCATTTTATAATAATATATGATACAAATGCGTTCGGTACCTACCGAAGACCGATCTCATGGATTTATCCATAATACTTTGCTCCTCCTTTTCTTTGCTTTTATCCATTTTGATAGTTTGTATTTATTTAGTAAGTGTACAACAAAATCCTCGTAACAATTCAACCACAATTAATTACTGCACTGCTGATTGATGATGGTTTTTTTAAGTGATATTGGTGATAATTGGACAATATTCCGGTCAAAATGGAACTGAGCAACGCACAACCAAACAAAAAAAAAAATATCTACTATTCCTGTCCAACTTGGTTGTACGACCAAGTATACCATTTCACATCCAAATAAATAAAGTATACTAAAAAAAAACAATTTCTCTTATTTATTTTATAATATGGCAACAAATTTCATTTTCGCAAAGATGTAAAAGGCGAATACATGCCCGTTGCCCATTTATTTCCTGCTAGTATTGTGTTAATATTGGAATTACCTCTATTTAAAAGGTTTAGATAATTCACATGATAATAGAGAAATAATCTAAAATAATACGTTTATACCAATTGTGATGCGAGAGTGGAAATGTTTGTGGCATACCTAAGTGCTCAGAGATAGGTATTGATTGTTTCGTGCAAAGAGATGACAAGTGAATTTTAGAAGATTGGAGCTAGTTTCTGAAAGGAACAAAATTTGTTTTATTAATATCGTTACTGTTACAAAATCAACAGCATGAATTTAGATAATTCATCAAGAGAAAACTCTGAAGCAATGGATTCCATTGGCACAGTAAGCCCCAGAGAAAAATATCACAGTATGCGAGAGAAGAAATTATCAACAGCGTCTCTTACTAATACAGAAGGAGCTCGACCGAAGGTGGTCACGGTAAAACATCCAGAATCCAATAAACCGAAACCGACAGCTAAGAAAAATAAACCCATACAAGCAGACCTTGATGTAATAAAGGAATTCATGCGATGCCGCGAAGAAGGAACAAAACGATTAGATCTTAGTAAGTCGTCCATCACCTCGTTACCACCGAATGTTAGGGACTTAACACATCTTGTAGAGTTTTATTTGTATGGAAATAAGTTGGTTGCACTTCCGGCTGAGTTTGGTTGCTTGACAAATTTACAAACATTAGCATTGAATGAAAATTCTTTGACGAGCTTGCCAGACTCCTTAGCCAACTTGAAATGTTTGAAGGTTTTGGATTTGCGACACAATAAATTGAGTGATATACCTGAAGTAGTTTACAAGTTGACATCTCTAACAACATTATTCCTGCGATTCAATAGAATTAAAGTAGTTGGAAATGGTATCGCTAATTTAACAAATTTAACAATGCTGAGTTTGAGGGAAAATAAAATCAAAGAACTGTCATTTGGCATCGGGAATTTGGTGAATTTAGTAACATTTGATGTCTCTCATAATCACTTGGAGCACCTACCCCAAGAAATTGGCAACTGTGTCAATTTATCAACTTTGGACTTGCAACACAATGATTTATTGGATATACCAGAGACCATTGGGAATCTTCAAGCTCTAACCCGTCTGGGACTACGATATAATAGACTTACCGCCATACCATCAACACTGAGTAATTGCAAACATATGGATGAATTCAATGTAGAAGGGAACTCTATATCTCAATTGCCTGATGGCCTTCTCGCCAGTCTCAATGAGCTTACAAGTATTACATTATCCCGAAATTCATTCATAAGTTATCCATCTGGAGGTCCAGCACAGTTTACTAATGTATTCTCTATCAACCTGGAACATAATCAAATTGATAAAATACCTTATGGTATATTTTCAAGAGCAAAGAATTTAACAAAATTAAATATGAAAGAAAATTTACTTACATCTCTACCACTGGATATCGGCACATGGTCAAATATGGTCGAGCTTAACTTAGGAACTAATCAATTGACAAAGTTGCCAGATGATATACAATGCCTTCAAAATCTAGAAGTTTTAATATTGTCTAATAATTTACTGAAACGTATACCTCCAAACATTGGAAGTTTGATGAAATTGAGGGTTTTAGATTTGGAGGAAAACAAACTGGAAGTCCTTCCCAATGAAATTGGATTTCTTCGCGATTTGCAAAAATTGATTGTACAATCAAACCAGTTGACAACATTGCCACGATCAATTGGCCACCTCACCAATTTAACATACTTAAGTATTGGGGAAAACAATTTGCAGTACCTTCCAGAAGAGATAGGGACTCTTGAAAATCTAGAGTCATTATATTTGAATGACAATCCAAATTTATGCAATCTTCCATTTGAATTAGCTCTATGCGTTAGTCTGCAAATCATGAGTATTGAAAATTGTCCCTTGACAGCTATTCCACCAGAGGTGGTATCTTCTGGACCATCACTGGTAATTCAATATTTAAAATCTCAAGGGCCGTATAGAACTATGTGATATCAGGATGATGAGTATCTGCCAGGTGGTGATGGCACTTAGAGGATTTTAATCCAGGTGAAATACCAAACATTTTGAAAATGTATATTCTGTTGCACACATTTCTAAGCCTAGACTTATTTGTCAAGTCTAAAATAATTTTGTCATCTTTTTACATGCTGTACTAGATGAAAAAAGGCAATAGTATTTTAAATTTTATAGGTGTAGCAGAATCGACATCAAAGTTCTAAAGATGTTATAATCATTTATTTCTACAGAAATCAATGATTTTTTCATATCTTCTTCCATATGTAAATGTTATCTATTCATGTTTCCTTCCATTTAAATGTTATCTCATTTAGACACATAGAATTTATATGTATACAAATATATAGACATGTTGTAAATAGTAGCATTATGAATTATCCAAAATTGCATTGTTTGTGTCAACCAGTTATTTTATAATAAAGTTATGTATTCAAATGTTATTTGATGCAAGTATTTTTCCTTTTAGATTTATACATTTAATTGCATACTATTATTAAGGTATTAGTCCTAAAGGAATTTATTTAGATGCATGATTAAAAAATGAAAAATCACAAAAATATATCTATGATTGTTTGTAATTATAAAGATGATGTATATATTGTATGTTACTTGATTATGCACAATAAATGTACAGAATCAATGGTTATGGTTATGAGACAACTTTTATAAAAGGATTTTGAAGCCAGGTAAATGCTAAGAATGTTGATATTAGTAATATAAAAAGTTGTCTTTTTTAATAATCTTTGTTTATCTGAATAATTGGGATTGGAAATTGTTCGTAGTTTTAGAATTACTTACAAACAGTAATTGAACATGATATCAACTCTGATTTTATCAATGGAACAAAGCGAATGAATTAAATGTGAGCTAAATGTTTAGGGAGATGAGATTTGTTAGGTACATTTTTATTATTTTAGAATTTGTACTAAGACAAGAGTTCTTATACCATAAAGTAGTACACATGTCCTATAAATAGTGATCTATAATCAAAGTGCCGACAGTTTAGGTCACAACTAACAGGTTTTGTTATTTGTGTTTGCAATATTTTTTATTGCACAAGGTTTTTGTTGTTACCTATAATGTCGCACCATGAAAGATAGTTCAGTATTTACAGGACACCCTGTACAAGAATATCTTTTACTGATTCTTGCAAAACAAATGTTTACATAGTCAGTATATTAAAATCATATAAATTCCACACATTTTAGAAAAATCTTTTTAACTACTTACTAATGAAAATTTAACCAATAGATCTCAAACATTTTACAGTATTCAATTATAATATCGTATTAAGTATGCTACTTTAGGTAACACAAGATATGAAATCAGGATCGGAACTCTCTTAGGTTATTGTGATTTTTTCTGCATAATTGTGTTTAGGTGATGTACCATTTAAGTAATGTTTAATAGAAATATGTTAAACGGCGTAGTAATTACGTTTGAAGCGTTACTTTCCTATCATGTTGCATTTATTTTTGTTTTATTTAGGAACACTAAATGTATTTTGTCAAATGTCATCTGGAACATAAGTTTGTATTATTATACTGTAATGTACTCAGTGTTCTTATAAGTTACAACTTTGTTAGTATATAATACGTAACACGTAACATTACTTATGTATCATGTTGTATACTAAGTACAGATGCGATCAACGCTACTCTTTTCGCCGAATCTTAATATAAACCTGTTTCAATAGTTCTCTTGGTGTATTGAATGTGTACTTTAGAATAAAATAAATTGGTGTTTAATGTTCTCTATTAATGCAGAACATATGTAATGCAGTTTTTCTAGTCATTACTGTTATTGTCAAACATTTTAATTCTAATCCTGAGATTTCCCTGGTGAAATTGAATTCGTATTTATAGCATAATGTCAGTCAGTAAAATTCATATTGAGGAGAAACTGCAGTGTTAAATTATAGTTTTGTTGAAAAATTAAAATTATACTTACTTTTTTTAAACTTTCGACCCTACCTGGGAATGTTGTATGGATTAATTATAACGTTATATTTATGTATCAGTGACATGTAAACATGTTAAATAAAATTAATTCATCTAAACTCATGTTTTCTTTTAAATTATTTAAAGTAAGGTAAGGCAAAATAATAAAGTTCAGTATAGTATAGTATAATATTTATTCATAAATTGCGCCTTTGTTCTTTTATAAATAATTGAATAATTAAGTATAATATATACAATTTTAATAATCAAAGCTTTACCTGTAAATCAAAGCAGTCTATACAAATGATAATAACAAAATCGTAACTGCAGTTAAGCTAAAATGCCTTTGTCCTTATTAAGTCTAATATTTTGACATATAAAAATATTTTACCTATAAAACACACTTTATTGTTACTAGCGATGTAAACAAATAAATCAGCCTAACATTAAGCGAAATATAAATGCTGTACATCAAATAAAAGATGACTGCATACATTTCCTTTGCCAATTAAGACAAATTGAACACTGCAATAAGGTTTTGTTGAAATGATATTGTCTTAGGGGGAAATATATATAATATTCACTGCAGTGGTAGGTCAACACAATGTCTTGATACAGTGGCAAAGTTTTATAGAATGTTCACTGAGGTGCCTAGTTATCTATTTTCCACCCAAGTCCATCAGCACAAAAAATACTAGATGTTTGTTTGTTATTCATCTTAAGAAATATAATAAATGCTTACCATGTTTTGCTAACATATTAATTAAATTGAGTATGTTAATACACTCTAGCTTCTACAGTCAGTCCTTATTTAAAATTGCATAAAGACTAATATCTCAAAACATTAAAACTTTGAGGTTCATTCGCGAATATAAAAATAATGTTTTAGTAATTTTCATTCACAGTAACAATTTGTTTCTATCCATAATCAAATTTGTAAAAAGATAATCTTATATCTACTGTATATCTTTGGCATTTCCATTTACTAAACATATGACATTATAAACATAATAAATACAAAAATTATGTGATGTCTTCTATAAACAGCTTTCTTGTTGAATCAAGGAGAAAATAATTTATGGCACTTAAAAAAATTAATCACAAAATATTCATAATTTTATCAAAATGTAACTGTTATTAAATGTTACACATTTATTAAATGATACAATAAGACAAATAATAATCCTAAATTGGCATAGAAACATATTATTACTGTCAATAGGAGATTCCTGCCTGTCTGTCATTGTTTTAGCCATGTTTAATATAATTATATCTACATTATTAAACACTTCCTTTGATGCCTTTTCTGAGGTTCTGGTCTCAAAACTGCTCGAACTGCTTCATCAAACACCTGCAAGTACAAGGTTTTATTTAAAAATATACAAAAGCAAGTAAATATTACAAATATACATTATGAATAAAACTTGACCTGTTTGAGTCCACGCTGTGTCAAGGCTGAGCATTCCATATATTTTACAGCTCTAATTTTATTTGCCAATTTCTGACCTTGTTCCCTTTTTAAAGGAGACATTCCTTGTTCTGATAGCAAACTCAATGTTTCTCTGTCATCTCTCAAGTCTATTTTAGTCCCTGTTGATGATATACAGTTATAAGGGAACAGATACAAATATTATAAATAAACAGTTAACATTTATTTATTTTGGACCACTTACCAACCAAAATAATTGGTGCATCTGGGCAGTGATGTTTAATTTCAGGGTACCATTTGGAAGTAACATTTTCATAAGAAGATGGACTGAAAAGACAAATGTAATATATGAAAGATGTTCAAGGTCAATTAAAAAAATATTTATTGTTATAAACATAGTCTACAAACACTTATTATACGGCTTATTCACCTTGTCACACTGAAGCATATGAGGAAGACATCTGTTTGGGGGTAACTTAGTGGTCTAAGTCTGTCATAATCTTCCTGTCCTGCAGTATCCCATAGGCCTAAAGATACCGCGACACCGTCTACCACCATAGGCGCAGAATAATTATCAAACCTGAAAATATTTTAGTCTCGAGTAATTTTGAGTGTAGGTAAATACAAGAATTTACTTTAGTGACAGTACAATTTTCAGGTTTGTCTTACTTACACTGTAGGCACGTATTCACCAGGGAAACTGTCAGTGGTATAGGATATCAGCATACATGTTTTTCCGACGGTACCATCTCCCACTACCACACACTTGATTGGCCTTCCAGAAGACATCTATAAAAGAATGTAAATTATTGACTTACAAAGACCTATGAGTCATTTAATGCAGTCAATCAAGAAAACACAATATTTGTCAACATTACCTTATTGATTAATAGTTTCGTTTGTGTTAAATAGTATTATACATACAACAAAGTGTTATTAAATTAAAACCAATGAAATAAATGCAATATTTGTATAAACTCGTGTAGAAAACGCATTGAATGAAAGATGGATGACGGACACAGACAAAAAATATTTTTGGCTGACAGACATTTTAAGAATGCTTTAATTAAGTTTCCTACTATTAGAATATATATTTTTTAACGGCAACTCTAAGGAGCGCTGCCGCTGCGGCAATGATAAGTAAAGGTCTAGGTAAACTGACCTCGTCCGTTCGCGTTTATTTTGCAAACAGATATTTTAAAATAAAAAATCGAGCAAGATAAAAAAGTCTATGGTCTTTAAAATAGTAATATTAAAATATTGGTTGTTCTGTGGTATTGGGTGGGTATTGGTGTTCGTCCCGAGCTTAATTGAAATTTCCCCTTTTATTTGATTTTATTTACTTTTCATAATATTTAATGCGAACAGAAATAGTATTTCTATTATTGTGCTGAGTAACCTAATTTTCAAGGTAAATTATATGTATAAAATTACGGAGTAGTCATACTTATAGGTTTTGGTTTTACATCATGTTATTTGTGGGATCTTATCATATTATTATATATATTTTTAGATGGGTGATTCATGTGTGGAGACTCCAGAGGCGCCGGCTTGGTTGTCTAAGCTGGAAAGCCAGCGAGAGAAACTTAGTAAGGCTCGGTTAGGACACGATAGTGGAGCCGGCGCTCCTTGCAACTCTTGTGGTACGTTGTGAATTTGTAGGATTATTTTAAACATAAATTTTGTATAAATAAAGACAACGACTATTTAACTACCTAAAGTTAAGTTCTGCGGTCAAGATTCACCAGCGAGCCTCAATTTAACTTATCTACCAACTATGGTTATAATCTGATTAAAACAATTATTATGATAAAGTACCCAATGTGTTGATTATTTTTATCATCATGACAAGATAAATCAGTCTTCTAGGTCTGGTCTCTTCCTATCTATTGAAATTGAGGAGCATTGAATACAAAAACAGATAAGTCACATTTAGCCTTGTTCTTTTAATGCCATACAGTAGATTTTGTACATTTCTATGAATAATTTCTCCAACCTAGACAGCAACTGCTAAATCCTCCCTCAAAATTAATTACAAATGGCACAGATCATCTGGACACAATGCCACAAATCCATTCAATGAGACTAGAATCTAAAAGCTAAATAAAAGCTCTTCTGTATAAGATTCATGTTTGTTGGGGTCTGCCTTTGTGTCTTGGAAACATCATTAATTTACTACTAAAATTTTTTAGGACCATCTTGTCCTGGTTTGGACTTACATTTTTGGCGTAAGGTGTGCAGATCATGTCACTGTAGTAAAGATGTTCACGACGTGCAGGATGATGACTTGTCAGGGTGGGCACAGTTTGAGCTGCTTGGGACCCCAGGGCCAAAGAGAGGATCGTGTAAGTGTTGGAGACGTCATACTTATTTACTTTTTAATCTAAATTGTTTTTAGTGCACCATAGTCAATAACACGGGAGCTTAGGGGTGCGGTTCCAATAGAGATGTGGGCTGTGAAGCAGTGTAATGGTGTCCACCAAAGCTGTGCGAGGTAGCTAGGCGGTGCAAGGCGGCTAGCTTGCACGCATACTTTACACACATTTTTCGCTCGCATCTCTTGCACATATCTCGCGCTGTTTTGTATGTCAGAATACTTAGCTCCGCTTGCCCTTTTTCACCGCGGTTATGCTTAGCAAGGCTAGCAAAAAACAAGTAATCCTATTGGTGGATTTTTTCCTTTCACACCACTTAGCTACCTCGCACATCTCTGGTAGAAACGCAGTTTAATAGTTTTGTCATGTCTGTAAAACCGTTCTTTTGTATTAAATTAAAAAATATTTTTATTTGGTAGGTAAGTACTTGAAATCATCACAGTGATTAAAACTACTCATTCATAGGTCGGATTCATACGAGAAGAATTTGTTATCTTTTTTTTATATCATTACAAACATTTAGTAGTTTATAGTACACATGCGTTCATATGAACTATTTCATAATCATTGATTTTATAATAAACGTAATAATGCATTTTTAACATGAACATGAACTTCTGATGGATTTTGCATGTTTTCTGGTATTTTATAATAAAAACATACATTGTGTTTTAAAACCTAATTATATGTCATAATTATGTTTAAATTACTGTGTTTTTGGTTAATTGTAGTAAATTATTGAATCTCAACGACATATAGCATGTAGTTGGTACTTGGTGTAACGGGCTGGTGTCTGCAGCTCGACGTCAAGGCGCCTATTTTGCGTGTGGTGGGTGCAGGGTCTTACTCGTGTCACCCAAGCTCCTCCAGGAATCTCGGCAACCTCCTCGGTTTGCTGAAGACTTCGGGGAGCGACCTTGGCACTCCAAGGTACTTTGCCCTGTAGTTGGCCACGCCGCAGCACTGTAGTAGGATGTGCGCAGCCTCCATGTACGCTCTGCATACAGGGCTGTCTGTGATACCTAAATTGAAAAGGTGTTTATTGTATGGACCATGACCTGTTAGGGCGGCAGTTAGAGTGCGAAAGCTCTTGCCTTTTAAGTTTAATTAGTATTCGAGATAGACTGGCGTTGAGCGTTGGGAGTGCTTCCCTCGCCTGTCTACAAACCGTAAGGGTGGTCCATGTATTATTATGTAAAGATTTTGTACCTTTGTGTATAGTAGTTCTGGACCATTGGCAGGGGAGGGACACTATCGGTTCTGGTCCTACAGCGTCCGTCTCCGACCCTTTCCTGGCTAGTTCATCTGCTGCGTCATTGCCACGTGAGCCGCTGTGTCCTTTAATCCATTGAAGAGTTACGTGGTTTTGTATACATACCTCCATGAGTGCTTGATGGCATAAATAAATGAGCCCTGAGTTTATGTCATAGCTGTTCAGTGCTTGTAGTACTGATATACTGTCGGAGAGTATTCGAATGGAGTGGCATTGCATGTAGTTATTCAAGCAACTTATTTTAAGAGTCAAAATTGTATTCAAATAAGTCTAAATTGTAATATAACAAAATCGCTAAAATTGTCATTTATTTCTGTAACTTGTAGAGACAATGAAATCATTTAATTCATCATTTGTGTTATCTATTGAGAGGCTAATCAGCACTTTACCAATAAACATTCATTTCTTTGCAGTGCCATTGATCAAAATTAGAGGAGTAACTGATAAACCTGTGAAAGTAGACTGGGTGCCTCCAAATGCCTCCACTGAGTTGGTAAGTCATTTTTATATGTCGTATTTTTTATTGTTTATATTTATGAAATAGAAAATTTCTGATAAGTACTATGAAGAATAAACAACTATGATAAGGATGGATGTAGATAATGATTTGTTTTTGAAGATAATGAGTTGATTTACGAAGAAACCGATTTTTTTATGATACCAAGTGACACAAGTGTGAACAAATCATGCCTGGTGGCAAGCAACACACCCGTTCATAACAGATGCACTGCCACTCAGTCACTGATAGTAAATCACCAAGATGTGAGGGGCACTGCCACCGCGATCACCCTGAGACATAAGATGACAAGTGCCATGTTCCTATAAATTCACCAGCATCCTTACCCTTCAAAACCGAAACGCAGTAATGTTCACATTACTGCTTGGCGGCGGAAATAGACAAGGTGACAGCACTTCTCTGGACAATTTCTTTCACAAGGAGCTCTACTGCTACTAGTAATATTTTGTAGTATTAACCTATGTACAAACATCCCTCTACTAAGATTGATTGATTTTCTCTAAAGGTAGATATCATACAATATTATGTCAATCTTCAAGCTTTATTCTTCTTATATATTGCTGTTTTCATTACTTTACGCCCAAAGCATGGGCTTAAGATCCATGTATACATTTTTACAGGTCTCTTTGTGTATAATAATACATTATAATGTTTGTTGCCATTTTGCCTGATAGGTATCAGAGTACATGTCGTGTCTGGGCCCGATGGCGCCAGTGTCAGGCTCCGACGCGGCGCGGCGGCGGCGCGCGCAGCTCCGCACACAGTTGCCGCCGCACGATGTGGCGCCCGACGTGCGCGCGCACGCCACAGACCAGGAGAAGTCCGAACACACTGTAAGTATTTCTTATATCTGTTACAAGCGAGTAACGTGGCTATTCTTGCGAGTGTTTACAAGGCTTTATAAGTTAAACAATAAAAAACAACAGTAAAAAATTATGTGTACACATATATAAATTAATATAGCAAAGTATTTACTGTTCAGAACTCAACCCTGTGTGTTTTAAGGGATTGTTTATGCAGAAATGAAAATTAACTGTTTACATTCTTCTGGCTCCCAAAAAGAGGTCACAAAATATAAAAGCACTTTAGCCCTTGGTCCTTAAAAATACTATATCAATCTTTCTATTTGAAGATATAGCTTGTTCCACATCAAACTGGATATTTGGGTAAATTCGTGATTCCTATTTATTTTCAATTTTCAGACATTCTACACGTAAAATGTTGGAAGTCATATTTCGCGGAAAAATTTAAGTAGAGACCCATCGTTAGTTACTATTGCGACTATTGCAAAAGTGTACAGGGAATAAAAGTATGCATACAAGATTCATCAATTTATGTAAACATTTTCTGTTTTACCTATTGTCCCCATAAATACACATTGCGTATACGCGACATGTGAAGATGGTCTGTGAAGCTTTCAGATTTTTTCCAAAATGTTAAGTTTCTGAGTTGATGACGTAAAACATGAATTAAATTTGTAAACAAATTAATAATGACAAGACCCAGTACAAAGATCTATAACGGACACATAGAAAAATTTCATTGACCTACTAACTCGACCTGTAGCTCAGTTGGCAGAGTAACGCCACGGTACGGCGTGTACAGTCATATACACAAGTACCTAACCCCCCCTCCCCTTCCCCCCAGGCCGATTTTGGCGACCTTTTGGTTCTGAGCACAAAAATGTGGAGAAAATTGTTAAACACAGTTAATCTTTAAACTCTGAGCCGTAACATTTATTTTGGTATGACTCCCTGGTCGTCTCATTAGTGAATGACGTTTTAAGAAAGTTTTTAAGCCAATTTGATCTTTAACATATGGTTCTTACTTAAATACAGAACACAAATTTCAACTAGCTTTAGTAAGGCCGTCGCGCGTCGTGGCCAAGTGGTTGGTATAAGGATTGCTTTGCAAATTGAGGCAAGCATGGTTCGAGTCAAGCATGGTTCGAGTCAAGCATGGTTCGAG